AGTCCTGTTAGCATTGTGGTTCTGCTAGCAGCATAGTCCTGTTAGCAGTGTGGTTCTGTTAGCAGCTTGATTATAATAATGAGCCTGGCAACGGACGATAACTGCCCTTCAGAACCGGGTCCAGCAGACACAGAACATTCAAAGTTCCCTGCGGAACCGAACTTTTCTGTAGAATTCCGTCCGTGCAGACAGATGGAGGATCATGGAGACGGCCATCATGACAGGCCGGAGCCTGAGCCCAAGGTGGGAAAGGGGCTGGAGAGTTGAGTTCTGGTGGAATGAACCGAGCTGCAGATGGACCGCATAGGTCTCAACGAATTCCTGGTGGGACTGAGCGGCTCGGAGAGCGGTGGGTCGTGTCGAACCATCCTGCCGGACCCGCAGCACTTTGTTTTATCTAGCCTGTCCATATTCCTGGTTGAGTGTAGAATTAATATAAGATTGTTATTTTGGTTTGTGTGGTTTCTTTTTCAGATCTCCACAGTAAAGGAAGCCTTTATAGACATCTCTTTACCCATCATAGAGGAGAGGGTGAGCTCTTCCAAATATAATCTTTGTGAATAATGTAGAGAATCATCTTTTATCAAATGTGTAACAAAAACTAAGCATGTAACTAATTCAGAAGTTGATGTTACTTTTGTTTTCGGTTCAAATAGTTTAGCAGGTAAAGTTTTTGTTTTCTCCTCACCCTCCTCAGATATCTAAACCATCCAACCCTGGTCGCCTGGGGAAGGCCCCCCGTGAGCTGGACGCTCATACCGCACACAGTGAGCAGGTTCTTTCTGCAGCGCAGTCTGTCTGCAAGAACACCCGGAAGCTGAACGGACAGGTGAAAACACAACGTCTCACAAGTCTGGATTAGAGCTGCACAAGAGCAGCGACTCAGACACAACCAGCTCGCCAATAATGTTTGCACCAGTCAAACGTCTCCTCAGTGATCTCTGTAATAAGTTTGCTTTTATTTATTTATTTATCATAAAAACAACATTTAAAATTAAAATAAAAAAGTTCCAACCCACCTCTTAGAACTGAAAATTTAAATAGATAAAAGTCAAATTAACTTCACTGGTAAAATGTTTGAAATGATACAGAGGAACCCCCGAAAACAAATTTACAAGTGTATTTATTTAAACAGGCTATGTGGTTCATAAAAATTGAAGCAAAACAGTGCAAACAAACAAAGCAAATTAGAAGCAAAACATAAAGTGAGTGGACCTTAAGTCAAGTACGACAGGGAGTAGTGGGAGGCGCATTACTGGGAGCTGGAAAATTGATGTATGAAGAAGAATAATTCATGTTCGGGGTAAAAAAATGTAACATTTGTTGTTCAGTTGGTGATGCAGACTTGTGCAGACTCGGAGGCTCCGCTGTATTTACGTTACTTCTTCTCTCCTACAGAAACAGCTGAACAGGAGGTCTTCCAGCTCTGTGGAGGAGAAAGGAGCAGACTGTGGTGTGGACCGACCAGAGGAGGAGGGTGTAGCTGGTGGATCAGCTCGTGGTGTCTCGGTGTGTAAGATGGCGGCGGCTGGCAGCCTGTCAGACGGCAGCGAAAGAGATTCAGGAGCTCAGGACAGCAGCAATGATGCTGACAGTGAGGCCTCCGAGAGCGAGTGTTCACCACGCACCTCCAGCCACGGTCACATGTCCACGCCATCATCAGCATCCACCCTCACTCCGTCCCCTACCCCTGCCTCTTCCTCGTCTCCCACTGCATCATCCTGTTCCGTGAGGCAGTGTGGCGCTGTAGAGCAGCTAGCTACAGCAGTTTCTAAAGTCAACCTCAGCTTCTCGCCCAGCGACGTCTCCACTTCCACCCACTGTTCGCCTGATGAGCAGGGGGGTACTCAAACCAGAGAGAATCTCCACCATCAGCACCATCAGGGAGCGTTCCAGGTTCTGTCCCACAGTTACACCCCCTGCTCCAAGGAGTGCTCCATCCAGTCCTGTCTGCACCAGTTCACCTCCATCGAGCTGCTGATGGGCAACAACAAGCTGCTGTGTGAGAGCTGCACCGACCGCAGGCAGAAGCAGCTGCGCAAAAGCAGCTCTGCAGGTAAGACGGAACATCCGCTGCAAACTCAGACACACCACCGTCTGAAGGGTCATCAGAAACTCCAGCTTGTCCATGCTCTGTGTTGGTTGCTCAGATAAGAAGGTGGAAAAGATTTACACCAGTGCCAGGAAGCAGATGTTGATTTCTTTGCTTCCTCCTGTCATCACGTTGCATCTAAAGCGTTTCCACCAGGTGAGCCTGCTTCAGTTAGAGCTGCTGGATGGTTTGGATGACTTCCTGTTATTTAAATGTCTTTGTGTGTGATGGTTTGCACACTTTAAGGCAGGGATGAACCTTCGAAAGGTGAATCGCCATGTTGACTTTCCTCTCATCCTGGACCTGGCTCCTTTCTGCTCCGCATCTTGCAAGGTATCACCATAACCCTTCCACTGCTTTAATCTGCTGTTATTCCTACACTTACTGAGTGGACAGTTTAGCGTCTTGCAGCACTACTTTATTTACTTTTTTTTTGGCGGGGGGGCACTTTTAGAAATCTGCTTCTATATATTCCCGTTTGCTTTGATTTGTAGAACCTGGCAGCCGGTGAGCGCGTCCTGTACAGCCTTTACGGGATTGTTGAACACAGCGGCTCAATGCGAGGAGGCCACTACACCGCATATGTTAAAGTCCGTGCTCCCCAAAGAAAATCAGAGCGGCGCCACAAGAACCTGTCAGGTCAGGAAAATCTTTTGGGGTTCTTTTTAGACATCCAAACCTTTTTAGACCTTGTTGTTTTTGTTTGTTTTAGTTGGTGCATGTGCTTCTGTGTGAGTTCATAAAAAACAGCCAACATTTTGTCACCAAAAGGCTGCACTTCATGTAACCATAGTCATGAACTGAAAAGAGGTCTTTGTGTTCTTTGCAACTTTGTTTCTTTTCTTCTCTGCTCAAGGAAACTGTTCAGTCACTGACTAGTATTTAAAGATGGCTGAAAACCACAAGAAGGCGTCTGTCCTTGCTGCTCACAAGCTTTTATAAAGCTGGACATGTTACGGTTGAAGGCTGTAGTTAGTGAGGGAATAGTGTTTGAGCTCGTTGCTATGGGAACAACAGACTAGACCATCAGATATAAAGCTAATTAATTATTGTTTTGGCTGTCAATTTTTTTTCTTCAGTCTGCTTTAAAACATTATTATAATTATGATTTTCAGTTGAAGAAACACCTGACAAAAAGAATAAATTTTACATCTTTTGAATAAGTTTGATTCAGCAAATATTTGCCATTACGTGACTGACGGTTGATTAAAGCAGTCCTTCATAATTACCAGCATATTTATTTATCGGTAGTTTGCGTGGGTTTTCTACAGGTCCTCCGGTTTCTTCTCACAGTCCTAAAACATGCATGTTAGGTGGCCTTCAGGCCCGGACCTTCCTGTAAAGGAGATCTGTGATGTCAGTGGGAATTGCCTGGTTAAATGAAGGTTAATAAAATAAATAAGTAAAATGTGAATTTATCTTTATAAGGACTACTGTTAACAACCAAGACCAGGTTCATATGGTTGGGATGAAAACTTTATCCATCCATCATCTTTACCCGCTTCTTCCTTTTCAGGTCGCGGGGGGTCACTGGTGCTCATGTCCAGCAGTCACTGTGCGAGAGGCGGGGACACCCTGGACAGGTCTCCTGTCCATCACAGGGACATGTAGAGACAATTTAGAGTTGCAAATTAACCTAACATGCCTGCTTTTGGTCTGTGGGAGGAAACTTGACTAAAACATAAAACTAGTTTTTTTAGGTGTTGATTTTGCTGATTCATTAAATTTTTGCCTTGCTGCTCACTTAGTTAAACGAAGGAGATGTTTTGTAGCAGCTCTATTATAACAGTTTGATCGATTATCAGGTGAGCGATACTTGTTACTTTGGTTGTACAAGCTTATAAAATCTTGGGGGTTTGGCTCGTTGTTTTCTTTAGGCTGTTGTGGAAATGTGTGTGAACTTTAAATAAGTGCACGCAGTGGATTTAATTCACGTCTGAAGCCAGTCACCCACAGATCGTCGTAAAGCTGTTTTTATGTTTGAACTTTTCAAACTAATGCTTTTTATATCTGTGTGTTTTGTAGGTGCAAGAGATGCCGGCAGCAGCTCCCAGAGCCAGTGGGTGTACGTCAGTGATACCACTGTTCAGACGGTCCCGGAGTCCAGGGTACTCAGCTCTCAGGCATATCTGCTCTTCTATGAGGAAATGCTCTAATTTAACCACTCAAAGTATCACAAGTATTTTCCTGCATATCTATTTCACTATAGCTCCTTTTACTCTATCAGGAGGCAAGAAAGGGAAATACATATCCATTTACTTCTTTGACTTAATGCAAGAAAAGAAAAATATTTAACTTAATTTCTAGTTTACTGCCCAGAATTTTTTTTTTCATATCCTAATTTAAAACTCCAGGTCTTTAAAATAAGCACTAAGGAGAAAAGTGTGTGTTTGGAACCTGAGCGGTCCAGTATTTCTGTACCGCATGATGAGGTTTGCTTGAGAAACAAGCAGATTTATTGCATGCTTTGAGCTCAGCACTGAACTGTTGATGTCAGGTTTTGTGTGTGTGCACGTGTGTCAGGGAGTGAATGTTTAAAAGACAGATGAATGTCACTTAAAGGTGCTACGTGTATCGGCCTGTCGCAGTCGTTCGTTATCCTCGGTGTTTGTACGAGGTTGGCTCGGCGCTCTGGTAATGTTGCCATGTTTAGACTCGTCCCGTTATGATGGAACTAGGATGGAAACAAAGTGTCGCCAACGCTTTTATCTGAAAGTGATCGATTCTGACACTGACCGTATCATTGCTACTGGTTTAGCATTAAAATCAAACCACACACAATCACTGTGGGTATGTTTCAACTTTTACCTGATTTTACAAACATGGAAACGTCACCCTAAAGAGGTTCAAGTTGCTGAGTCACCACAGTAATTCCTGATTAGGTGTTCTGTAGTAATGACCTTTAAATTATTGACCATAATCTACAGAACAATCGTCAATCAAGTTTTCCTGATCATTACAACCTTTTGTTAAACATCGATAATTTATAGTCTAAATTATTGAAATCAAGTTTATTTTACTATTTTAGGTGAAAATATTTATTTTAAAGTGTTGACATGAGGCCTGTTCTGCTTCAGGCTTGAACTTTAAGCCACATTAAAGTTTGATCAGGTCAGGATGGGTTCAGTCAGCATCAGGTGACTCGTCAATCAGTAGAAAAACCATCTGAGGAGCAACGAGAAGCAGATTAGCTCCTCGCAAATCATCTTAAAATCAACAAGAATTGTTTGTTTTTCTCTCTGCTGGAGAGATTAAACAGTATATGAAGAGACTAATAGTCTTTAAAGCTTTTAAAATGTATTTGTTAATTCAGAGAAACCCACAGCTTATTGCAGTTATTGGTTCATCGACTAAAAACAATTTGTACAATGATGCTGTACTAAAACAATTGACCACGACAAATACAGAGACTGTTAAAAATAGCACCTTTTAGAAGTTATTTGCAGCCTAAAAGCTTTGTTTATGTTTTTTCTTGTGTACATTAGAATGTATTAATGTCGACTATCAGTGAAAATTATTGCCAAAGACAAGTGTTTGAGTCAGAAAGCAGTTAATTTAACTCAGAGTCTTTGGTATCCCCTCTCCCTCTGACGAGGTTAAAGGTAAAAACAACCATGAAGGACGTTTATTGCATCACAGAACATCTGGTCTGCCTTCACTGTATTTGAGGTCTGTTATAACGAGAACATGTTTTACATGAATAGGAATGATGACCAAAACAATATATAAATAAATAATTAAGACCCAAAAGGAGAACCAGAAATTTAAAGGTTCATGTCATAAATGCTGTTTACTTTTTTTTTTTAATACATTTGTCAATACAAACAGGAAGTTTCAAGAGTTGGATTATTTTAACGTGAACAATTTAGTGCCTCAGCTTCAGGAATGAGGAACCTGTGCATGGTGGGAATACATGCTGAGTTAAATGTAAAGAGGGAAATGAGTGTTTTATTTGTGTACAACTCACTGTAAGAAAGGAAAAAAAACGATATGGAGTGTATGTAATTGTATATAAAAGACAATATGGTGCTTCATGGAAAGAAATAAAAATACTGTTTTGAAATGAGTATGAAACATACCGTCTCAAAATAAAAGATTTGTGAACCGTACACTCTGCGGGACGTTTGTTTTCTTGTCTTGTTCCTCACGCAGCTAGTGGAAGAGCGATCACTAGAGATTTAACGTTTCCTGCTCTGAAACCGAGACGTGGCCCGCCGTCCCTGCCTCGGCTGTCACTGCGGATCCCGCGGTGCCGTATTCAGAACATCTTGGCCCGTTCTCGGCCCTGACGGGTGCAGAGCAGCGCTGCTCGGGAACATGTCGCGAGCTGGTGAAGACGAGGTGGGTGTGGAATCGTGAAAAGGGCAGCGTCGCAAAACGTCTCGCCGCGCGTCCTTTTAACTCTCACACGCGGCGACGTCGCTGTCACGCAGCTGGAACACTTGGACAGGTTGTCAAGCAGGCCACCAACACAAACAGCAAATGCTTCCTGAAATGCATTTGTCTATTTTTAAAGGAGGGCAGAAGGACTTCTGGCTCGAGGACATGGCTGCTGAGGCGTTTGATGTGATTTAATCTCACTTAATGAAACGTGCCCCCTCCCTTCCCCCCCCTGTGAGACACTTGTAAGAAACTAATAAGACGCTGCTGGACTTTACCAGCAGTGGAGGTTAAAATTTTCTTTCTCACCAGGCACGCTGCTGTCACCATCAGTCTCACCTCGCCGCACACGCATGCACAACAAACGTGACATGTTTTCCTGAGCAAACATGAACGCACTTGGACTGCATGTGCCTCGGGCTCAGTGCTGTTACGAAGCAACACCGAAGTGTGGCACCGATGCAGCTCGTAACTGCTGAACACCTGTTAAAGCAACGTTTATTAAAAGAATACATTGATTACTTAAGATGTTTAAACACAAAGTTTGTGTTGATGTTGGATCTGCTGCACAAACCGCTCGTGACTAAATGGAGTTACAATCCTGGGGAGATAAAAGCCCACCCTTTACACTTACACAGGCGGGGCCGCCCGAGCCTCCATGGGGCCCTAAGTGAAATTTGGTTTGGGGCCCTCTATTTCTGCTAATAATGTGGATTACTGCAAATAGTCAGATGGTCAGATCATTCACCACCTAACAAACTCATTGCAACTATGACAGAACTGTTCACATTATCCTATATGTAGATATCATCTTGTGCAGGGGTCAAACTCATTTTCATTTTGGGCCACATCAAGCTCATGAATGTCCTCAAAAGCTGTTCATGGCTGAATGTATTGATAAAGCTACATATTAACAAACTGGTTAAATTTAACTTTCTCTGAACTACTTTGAAAAAAAAATCATGTTTGAGTAATTTGGCATTATAAACATAAAAACTGATTTGATTTGACTGATAAAGTGATCTTGACGCACACAACTGTTCTCTTGAAGTTCTGTTTCTGTGGCCCTCTAGGGTGTAGCGAGCCACAGAAGTGGTTATGGTGGGCTGGATTTGGCCCACGGGCCTTGAGTTTGACACATGCAATCTAGTGGTACTAAAAGTAACAACAACAAAACGCCAGTATGCTATGTATTTTACAGCATAGGTGTCATCTGGTTTATTATCTTTGGTTCCAAAGAACTGCAACAGTAATGTTCAAAATAATTTATAATGCAAGATTAAAAAAAATCACTACTTTTATTTTATTTTTTTTTTAATTTTTTTTTTTTTTTTTTTTTTTTTTTTTTTTTTTTTTTTTTT